GTAAATGGCTAAAAAAACTGTATAGTCTTGTATTCATGGTTCTTAAACTATACCAATTGTAAACGGTTTTAAAACAGCAAAGGTAAAAAATGTTCTTTACCATGAACATAACGGTTAATTGGATGGACAGACTGCTGTCTGTTATTTTACTATAATTTTAGAAGAAAATTTCTCACAGTGTGTAATCAAGTAACAAAAAAAAATTCTTAACTTTTGTTTTCTCAATTTAGTTTTTTTATTTTTATTAGAAATAAGTTTCGAGATGCTTTAAAAATGAGAATCAGCAATTTTCCCCTTTCTTCTATTTGTTTGCTTTTTAAAAATAAAAACAGTTAGATCAAAAGTACAAAACAAAAAATTACAAAATAAAAAAAATGCCGTTAAGTAGTTGTGTTGTTATACTACGACACAATAAAAACACTAAAGCTCTCATACTTACAAATCTATAAAATTTTAAAAAATGCAATTTCAAACAAATAAACTAAGTACGTGTAACATGTTTTTGACAAAGACTAACAGAAAAAAGGAAGTATCTCGTTTATGAAATGGGAATATACATGCTTACATGCTTCATAGAATGAACCCATTATATTTAAGGTACTTCTAATAGTACAGTAAAGTGACGAAGTGTTCAGTATCTGACTCATAGTAGGTGGTAAAAAGTTACACGAACTTGCGTTTCGGTGGGAGGGGGGAAAGAGTGGGTTTTGAGCTTTCACAATTCTAATTATAATATACTATTATATAAATGTGAGGCATATGGAAAAAAGTTTTATTAACAATTTCATTGAATGATTAAAAAAAAAAGGGTTGAATTGAAACAAGCAAGTATTCCCAAACATTGGGTATATTATTGCTCTTACAGATCTTATGTTTAAAAATGCATTTTTAACGTCATAGTTTTTCCAGTCTTTTCCAGAAATAATTGTAACAATGAATGAGAAAGTCCAAAAAAATATTTTAATAAATTGTCCCACACAGAATAAATATAAAACAATAGTTGTTCCTTTGACTTGTTTCAGATCAAGAGTGAGAGATAGAAAGAAACATCTACTAAGTAAATATCTAATTTTATAAAAATGATACATTGTTTTAAAAGAATAAACCAAGGCTAAAGAAGGGACAATTCATGACACAAACAAGCGATCCAATAGAATATGTTTAAAAAAATTCTCAAGAGCTATGGATTCGTAAATAAAGATCTATATAATGAGTAAAATTTGACATGCTCCTAAATATATTCATAGGATTGTAGGGATGGGTGATTGGATGTGGGGGTGGTGTCCCTACCTCAGTCTCTGTCACGACAGGGATCTCTTCTACTGGTGGTTTAATGATCACTTCTTCAGATGCTGCTTTGTAATCATTGGCAGAGAAAGTATTTCCGTTATGTTTTTTCCACTCGTTCATCAAGCGGGTACGAAACTTGGAATTAATGACGAACAAAAATATAACGAGACAGACAATAAAGTTACTAACAAAAAGGATCATGTTTCACAAACAAAAGACAGCAGACATCACACATAAAATTGTGAATCCTTTCAATCAACTTTCATTCTCAAATTATACCAAAGGAATTAGAGCATGCGCAGAAAAAAAAGGAGTCTTTTATCAAACACTACACCCTCCAATGATCACATCTAAAAAAAGGTCCGTCAGCCATGAACAATTCAAATGTATTAAAAAAAAAGATTTGGAACGACCCTGCAATTTAAATATATTTGGACAAATTTTCATTGAGTCCTTTACTAGCTGGAGACATTAAGTAGATGAAACAACAAGTGTTACCGCTAAAGATAGTTCCTCTAGAATTGAAGTGCATTAGAGTCAGCAGGTGGGGAAAGAAGTTGGCAAAGCTGCAGATCATAAAAATAAGTGTCACCCTGAAGATAAAGACCATTACAATTGGAAACAAATATTTCTGATTATTTATAGAAGGCTTTCTTTAAATTATTGGCTAATTTATATTTTGGGAAATTTTAATCATCTATTACATTTCGTTGTGTTTTAAAGTGCTAACTCATATGGGTTAGAAGCTAAATCTGGCCTACTTCAGCGGTGGTCTATTATTGTATTCTTAAATAAACAGCACCAATATAAGAAAGAAAAGTTGAGGAAATAAAAGAAAAACTTGTGGAAATAATAGAAAATCAAATACCCTCAACAGGAGAAAAATAAATTACGGGGTGTGGTAAAAAACCCGTACAAATGATTTTTAATATAACTTTATTATTTTATAACCGTCGTTGAACAGCCGACCCAATTTTGGGTTTACGACTACTAATATTCAACTCCGTAGCCTTATAATTTCGAACCCAATCCAGAGGACAAGGGAACTCTAGGATCAAATATTGGAAGAAATTTGCCTTCATGGAGGACTTTTTGATTGAAATAACTCTCATTTGCGTTACAGGGCGGGGTAAACCACAAAACCCTCCACGGTTAGCTTGACAGCAAAGGGACTTTAACTATCCCATCAAAGCGATTGGTTTTAAAGAGATCAAGCTTTTGCGTACAACGATTGTGTTCAGAGTGGACTAACGATTTCACACATTTGTTTTATATGAACCCAATCTCCACAACTCTTAAGTAGCAGTTCGTTTGCTTGACATGGTAAAAAGGCCACAAAAGATAATAAATAAATAAATAAAATAAATAAAAATAATACATACACTAAGATATATATTTTAAAATATTTTACAATTAAAGTGGTAGATAGAAAGAAATAAACAGGCAAATTTAAAAACTCTTAGTTAACTTCTGATGCAATTAATTTGTCCGTGTTTCTGTACCTTATAATAATCGATGTTTTTTTCTAGATATAGAAAAATTATTGTTATTTAATAAGCAATTGAAAATTAAGAGCATTCATGATTTTCCAATATTGAAATTGCCTTACAAAAGCTGAGTGAATGAAAAAAAAACATATTTCACACTGACTATTAGTTTTATATTATTATTAAGTTTTTGGTATTGATTATAATTTTCATAGTTATTAAAGTTTTGTCATAATTGTTCAATGCTTACATTATAGTAATATATGTCATTTTGAATTTTCCCATCTAAATATATTATTATAATATGTATTCAAAAATTTTTCAAATAAATATAAAAAAATATTTGAAAATAATAAAACTAGCAATAATAAAAATAGTGATAATAATAATAATAATAATAATACGGGTCATTCTCAGAAAAGGCAGACATTTTTGTCACCTGATATTTATAACAATTTAAAATAAAATAACATAAAAGTGTCATCAACTTTAACATATTGGTCATGCAATAAAAATATAAAATTTAATGTTTAGACATGATGGGTCACGTTTGTAGACAATCACTCTTCACTGATTCCAGCCTTACAACCAATAAAAAAACTTCACAACCATAAAAACCAACCTAACAATGAAACTTCGCAACCAATAAAAATTTACAATAAATAGTGTTTTTTATTGAAGATGCATACAAAATGCTGGATTCATAACAAACATTTCTTTTATAAACTTTAAAACTTTATTGTACAGTGCACAAAAAAAACGAGCAACTTTGAATAACTTTTGATCTAATGATCGGATCTTCCTGTTCATCAATCTTAATGGCTCAAATATGCGAATTAATAAGTGCAGACAATATCTTAAGTTGTGACACAAATACGTAATTTATCTGAATAAACATACCCTTTTTTCAAAAGATACGGATTTTTGACCCAAAATATAAGGGATAGTCGTAATCTGGTAAACATGGTACCTATAATTTGCTCATGAGAGCTTTACAAAGTTTTGATCCCTTAATGTTAATTTTACTTTTGAAACGAATTGAAAAATTTTTGCACCCAAAAATTCGTTTATCCAAAGATAATCTCATGCAAAAAATAACATTTATTAAATATTCATTATTTTTTATTATTTTATTTAATAATGGTCGAAAAAAAGTTTGAATTGTAAGGCCTACAACTTTTTGCTTCATTTAAAAGATTATAATTTTACATGTCAAAATTCAAATTTTGAGCAAAATCGGTCGAATAGTTCCTGAGAAACGAATTTTAAATATCTGACTTTTTTGAGTCAAAATGTTGGACCTCTCTCCTGACCAAACTATTGGGACCATATTTCCCAGATTGTGGCTACTCCCTATATTTTGGGGGTCAGAAATCTGAATTCGGTATGTTTATTCAGAGAAAGTACGCTTTTGGGTCTGATTTCGTAAATTAAAATACTGTCTTCACTTCATAATTAGGCTTTTTATTTTTTCTGGGCTCTTAAATTTTTGCAAACATCGAGAATTATTCATAGATTTTAATGATTAAGTGATTTTTTTAAAAAAGCTTAATAACTTTTTAAACGTATGAGTTGTTTGTCTGTCTTAAATCCCAGATAATTATTCAGTGCAAGATGGTTTGTATAGTTTACAACTTAAGCTCTGCCTCAAGTGTAAGTCACTTCAACTGTGGTTTTTTAATTTTCCTTGGTATAATACTGTTAACTAAAATAAATTTCCCAGCAATCATAAAAGACAGAATAAAATCAATGGAGTAAAAATCAAAACTTTTCTAATCGAATTTTTCATAACATTGGCGTCGGGAAAGCTGCCTTTGATTCCAATCCAAATAACATTGAGTGCGTCCGCAACTAGTTTCATGCGATTTCCTATAAATGGTAATAGTAACCTTGCCCTGGGACCGGAATAGCCTGGTTGGTAGGGCCCTGGGCCCATGTCAAACAGTTCGTGGGTTCGATCCCCGCAGGCCAGGACTCCCCGTGTAGTAAATGGTGACTTATGCACTTTACGTATGTCGAGTCGCTAAGTCCTCCATGTTCCCCTAACAAATCAATACTTCTGGGGGTACTGATAAAGAGGTTTCCTTGTCTTCTGGATTGGCTCAAAAATTACAAGGTTACGAAGTTGAGCATTAGTAGTCGTAAAGCCAAAATTGGATCGGTTGTTCAACGACGGTTATAAAAGTAAGCATTTAAATTGAAAAGAATAATAAAAAAGATTACTTCGTCGCATGCTGAACATCGTGGTTTAATAAGCTCCGCATAATGTCTCTCACAATAGAGTGAATTCTCTTTTATACAGTATGTGAAATCAATGAGTAATTCTTGACATACAGAACAAATGAAACATGAAGGATGGAATGATGATCCTAACTTTGCAGCTACAACACACACATATTGGAAAGGTAGTTCACATTTTGTACACACCTGAAAGAAATAGATTTACTTTAAAATGGTCACTCATAGTCTAAAAAATTCACTTCTGCAATGTCATAACTACCGGAATATTGTTCATTCACTCTGTGGGAACACCGAAAAAGCTCCGTAATTTTTACCCAAGCGCTTTGTTAATGGTTTTAGTAAAATTAACAGTAAAATATCGTTTTATAATGCAGCCAAATTATTAGACTTACTATAGGATTCGATGTAAAATCTCAATTATATGGTGATACTATACAGCTTTATTGTTTTTATGCGACTCAAACCGGTTTGCACTTGTTTATGCTCGTGCATTAATTTATTAAATTAGGCGATATATAATATTAATTCGAAGATTGAATAAATTATACCATATATAATATTTATTATATCAGGTATTATATTAGTATATTGCAATAATTAGACCAAATTATTAGACGCACTGCAGTGTATGAATAATTGTATGTCTTGCGTTATTTTATAAGCAATACTTTTATATTTCAACATACATCTACTGAGTTTTTATTCGGGAGATTTCTTATGTGCTTCCTACTTGTATTTATTTTCAACGTATTCCATTACAATGCTAAACAATCGATACACGAACGTAAACAAGTGCAAACCGGTTTCAGCCACGTAAAAACAATAAAGCTGTATAGTATCACCTGATAATTGAGAATTTACATAGAATCTTATAGTGAGTCTAATAATTTGGCCAGGGGCTTGTATGTAATAATGTTTGGTAAATATCGTAAAATTTAGTAACATTATCATGATATTTTACAGCATGGCATAAGAATAATTTATTTTGTTAAATTTAAGTTTCAGTTTTTTTATTTTTTATTAAATGCGGAGTACTAAGAATTATAATTTTAAAAACCATAATTTTTGATAAATCGTTACTATATGAAGGGAAAAATTACCAAATCAATGGTTTAAATACTGTATATTTCAGTTTTATTAACAAGAATTGTGTTTTTAAATGTCATTATCATACAGTATGGTAATTTGAACAAAATTTTTTTCTCCAACCGAGAACATTTTAAGCGAACATTTTTGAACACATTTAAAAAAATTGCATCATCTAAAGGTAATACTACGTGAAAATTAATGTTAATACTTCTTTATTATTGTTTAGTTAGCAATGGTAATTGTTAATTGTAAAAAATACAAATTTTTACATCCCTTTTAATATGTAATTTTAAATAACAAAATAAAATATATGAACGAAATAGGTCGTATAGTTTCTGAGTTTTTCTGTTTTAAGAAGCCATATGCTTAACTCTTCAATGAACGAAACTTAAGACCACTGATACCAATTCATAACGTTTTATGACTTGATATTGACTCCTTTCCTCAATGTCAGTGGGAAATGAATTTCGTGGAAATTCACAAAAAAATTTATATGATTTTTGACAGAATTAAATTTAAGGAATTAAAGGAAAAGAAAAAAAATAACAAGCATTTTAAGAAAACTGGAGAATTCTCAAGGCAGTCTTATAAATTGAGCACAATTATGTCACATATATGCATACAAGGGAGTAAAAAAAGATAAGAAATGGTCAAATATCTCTAGAATTGGATCGAAAAAGCGAAAATTGTCACATTTAATATTTTTTTAAAGTTTTCCAATGATATCAAACTTAATATTTCAGCCTCACTCCTGTGGGTTAGATGACGTAGCTTTGAAATCTTGAATATGAGCCCCTATTTCTTTTAATTGCAGATACGAATTCTCCGGAAAATGTAACCCTGTTTAAGTTCTTAATCTGATGGGTCTCGAGAACCGCCATTTTAAACAGCTTGTACCCTATTTAATTTTTCTCGGTTACTGCACCAAAATGCTTAAAACCTACAATTCACATAGGGTTACTTTTTTCTGGAGAATCTGAATGTGAGTTCGATATCTGTTGGGTCTCGAGATTCACCATTTTAAATAGCTTAACAGCTTGTATCCTATTTAATTTTTCGCAATTACAGCCTCGCCATCTGTGATGCAAACTGTATAAACCGGCAACTTAAATACGGTTATTTTTTTTTTGGAATATCCGTATCGCAAAAAAAAATATGGGAGTTCATATTTAAGTCCTCAAACCCTACCAATCCCCCATCCCATCCGAAATGTCATTTCTGTACCCTTTACTTATATATTAATGACATTTCTGGTTAAAAAACAACAACATAATTCTGGTAATAAAACCAAATTATATCGTATTTAAACCATTCATTTGGTAATTTTTCCATTTGCATTGTAACGGCTTACCAGAAATTGTTATTACCACACATTTAGCGAATAAATGATTTTTATGTCATAAATTTACAGCATTTACTACCAAAAGAAAATGTATTAAGCCAAAAGGTATTACTACCAAACGAAAGTTATAAGGTACCACACTTTATTGTTAATTTTACCTAAAGTTATTACCCAGGCGCTTCGGCAAAAATTATCTTGCTTTTTGGTGTTTCCATAAGGCAATAAATCTATATTATATTCTACTGGTCTTTAGCATACTTTTTCAGCGTGTCACCGGAAAAATAGAGAAATAAAATAGAAAATTAGTTAGCCAATATATAGTCTGAATAAAACTATTTTCTGATAAATTTTTGAGTCCTGTTTGTTGCGCTTTTTCTTGAATTTATTTTCAGTATTTTTAATGGCCAGTGTGTTTTAATACAAAGTTATTATAAGAAAGTCCTTTTTACTAAGGTTTCTTAAATGAAGTGAAGTGAAGATGTGATTTCTAATTGTTTTTTGATTTGCTAATAGTGTATATACATTAAATAATGGCAGAAAATTTCTACTGAGAAATATGCAGCTCAGAAGAACTCATAAATGCGATAAAATATTTTTTTTTAAATTTCAATCAATTAAACTTAATTATTCTTAATTAGTGTATATAAGGTTAATTAGGTCCCCCCCCCCCAAATATGGGTATGCTGGAAAAATTTTCAACTTGTCGCCTTGACAGTCTCCCGCACAGCCAGAGGTGGACAGAGAGTATCTGGCACACGCACTGGCCGAGAGGCCCGGCGAAGCCCCTCCGTGGCATTTATGTAAAAACAAGAAAAAAACATAGTACTATTTTGGCAACAGCCCGGAGGTAATCGAGCAAAAATACAAAAGTAACAAATTCACCTCTAGAATTAAACGTTTTACATGTATAATAGTTGTGATTATTCCGACTATTAACTAACAGGTGAAATTAAACATCTAGATTGATGTTTACAATAAAATATATGAAAAATTCAAGAAAAAAAACTAAATTAAAGTTTATAAATTGTCCATTGGACCCTTATAAATATTTGAAATTCAATAAAATTTACGATATCTACCATTTGAAACCCAGAATTTACCATGTGAGAGCTGTAAAAATATAATGGAATTTGTACAAGCTTTATGAAAAATATTTTTGGTCAAACCTCATAACCGAAAACTGGTGATTTAAAAATTTAAAGTTTAAAATACAGGAAAAATAATAAAAAGATTATAAGGGTTTAGTGTATAAGAAATATAAAATTTAGTTTTTAGCATTTTTTATATATTATAGGATATTTTAGAGAAAATTTCTTTACATTTTGGTCCTGAAACGAAATCCTAGACTCAAATAAAAAGATATTTTTATGCCCTTACACTGTTCAAGAGGTTACTCGAATTTGTAAGCTTTCTTATAACTTTTCATTGTAATTAAAATTTCTAATCAACGAAGGTAAAGCAAATAATAATTTTACATAAACAAAGGCATTGAAACAGAAAAAAAAATCATGAAATATTGTTTTTTTAGGTTATAAAATTAAACCAAATATTGCGCAATCTATTGGACCCTCGGTATCAAAGGAATATTGATTTTTAAACTATCGCTTTCAATATACATGCTATAAGAAAGATCTTTTATGAAAATGAAACTTATTTTAACAACTTTACTGGAAATTTTCCCAGTTTTTACTAAATTAATAAAAACGAATGCTTGGTAATGTGTATTTTCTTACGAATTTGCAATTTCTAATTGTAAATAATCTATGCATGAAATATTTTTTTAATATTAATGAGATACAAAAATAATATCTAATCTTAATCTATTTTAATAAATTATAAAAAATTAACTATATACAGGGTGTTTATAAAGTCCCGGACCCATTTTGATGTTTAATAACTCATAAAAAAATAAAGATATATTAAAATTAATAACATAAATGGTTAGATAGACACAGAAAGTTTCATGACCCTTGTCAATGAACTTCCACGTGTGCCCCCTTCGTCGCACGGAGAATATCAAGTCGATAGTCAATTTCACGCCAGGTAGCAGCAAGCATGTCGGCATCCACAGAGGCTATTGCGGCTGTAATTCTGACTTTTAGGTCATCAATGTTTGACACGATCCTCCTGTAAACATTGTCCCTTATAAATCCTCAAAGAAAAAAGTCCAGCGGCGTTATATAAGGTGATCTGGGTGGCCAAGGAATTGGACCTTCTCGCCTACAGAAAAGACGGTCTCATCAGTTGTATACTTAGACATGTTGGAAACTAGAAGAGCTTCAGCCACATGTCTTTTTGCAACAAGATGGTGCTCCACCTCATTGGAGTATCATCGTTCGTAGTTCTTTGAATGATTATTTTCCAGGAAGATGGATTGGGCGAGGAGGTCCAATTCCATGGCCACCCAGATCACTTGATATAACGTCGCTGGACTTTTTTCTTTGGGGATTCATAAAGGACAATGTTTACAGGAGGATCATGTCAAACATTGATGACCTAAAAGCCAGAATTACAACCGCAATAGCCTCTGTGGATGCCGACATGCTTGCCGCTACCTGGCGTGAAATTGACTATCGACNATATATATATATATATATATATATATATATATATATATATATATATATATATATATATATATATATATATATATATATATATATATATATATATATATATATATATATATATATATATATATATATATATATATATATATATATATATATATATATATATATATATATATATATATATATATATATATATATATATATATATATATATATATTCCTTTTTAATAATTTATAAAGAAAGATTAGATATTATTTATTTAATTTTTGACAAGGATAGTACAAATAAATGACCAGATTTTGACTATTTATATTTTTCAAAGTATTACAGTAAGCGATATACGAATTTAAAGAAAAATCTAAAAAGTTTTTTCTCTCGGTTACAAATATTCAATGTGGACTTTTTTGTGACCGGGCAAACATGTCATTTTTAATCAAGCTTGTTGCAAACATTTAATAACTTCATAGTGTCCGTCATTCCTAAGGCTGCACAAATGTGTTCTTAGAGCATCTATGGCATTGGTGAGGTATAAAACAGTACCTCTGAAATGACCTCATAAAGAAATCCTCGGTGCAAGGTCAGGGGATCTTGTACGCCATGACAGTAAGGATAAATCCTTTGTCATCAGCGAGCCTTCTAGGCATTCTTTATATCTAACCAATGACAGAAACACTGTTAGAATATACTAAAAAAAAACGTTTGGGAATCAGTAGAAACTATTGATAATATGAAATTAAAGAATGTTTGGAATAAATTAGATAGCAAAAATTTGTTTGTCGCACAAAATAGCAATACTTATTGTATTAATTACTGTAATATTCCTAATTATATTTAAAATATATATATTTTAAGACAGGTATTTATTTGTGCTATCCTTTTTATGTTGAATGTGGTCATTATGGAACCTATTGCATAAATATTTTTTTTTTAATTTAGTGCTGGCTGTATATGATTCATTATTATCTAATAATTTTCTGACCCACTGTTGATACACAATTATGTTTAATTTTTTTATGCAGATTTGTGGTAGTATTATACTTAATAAGCATGAAACTTACATCTAAATTAGATATTTGAAAGTATTTATGCTGTACTAAACTATATTGTTGTTGTTGCCGGCTGCCAGTAAAGCAGAGGAGGTGCGATTGATTTTGCTTTCTAGTTGGGGCCATCTATGGCCAAGAATTCGACTTCTGCCACACCCAAACGACACACCCGTTTATATTACGGATCCATACAGACATCCATTCTATCGTAAAGTTTACCTGAACCAGAGAGCGATCAACCTCCAATTCAGTGTTTCCAGAGATATTGATTTGTTATGAGAACAGGGACGACTTTGTGATCGTACATATTTAACGTGCACCAGTCACCATTTACTACACGGGGAGTCTTCGATCGGCTAGATTAACGTGAGTCCAGCGCTTTGTTAACCAGGCTATCCCGGTCAAAAGTATATTAGAAGTATTTATTTAATCAACACAGTGAATACTTCAGCTTGCGTTAATTAAATGAATACTTTTAGCGGATGAGAATTTACTTATTTACCTTTGCTGAAAAGTTTGTTTACTAAATGTCCACATGAATATTTTAAAACTCAGGAACAAGGCTAGGATAGTGAGGATCGAATTATTCTTGAAAAATGCTTTTAAATATGTAAATACAGTGGAAGAAAAAGCTTCTAAAAATCATAGAAATGATCTTAAAATAAAAAAATGCCCTTTAAATTTTCGACGCAATATCTTGTATTTGTTTTTTAAATTATGAATTGTAACCTCGTGGTATTCATAAATTCAATAAAAAAATAAAGTGGTATTTAAAATAAATGTATAAGTTGTGAATAAAATAAAATCTAAATAAATACTTGATAAGGACAAATAAGAATTCATTAATCTTTAATTACAACCTTCAAGATTATCGGAACTTTATTGCATAATTAAATGTTTTTTTTATATTCTGAAAATCGAGCCAACGCGTTTCGCCCAAAAGCAAATCTTACGTAATAAGCGTTTCGTGTAAATATAAAATACAAGATTCAAAGCAAAATTTATAGTAATTTAAAAGGAAAAAATTCAATGCACAAGCAAATTCTTTTAAAATTAAAAACATCAATAAAAATTGATAAAAAAAGTACTTAGAAAGGAAAAAAATAGAAAAAATACTAAAATTACCAAAAACATTATAAGTAATAAAATGATCAAAAATGTATTAATAATCAACATTCTAGCTCAGTTTAGGAATAATAATCTTTTAAAAAAAGTCTTATGAACTCTTATAGGATATTTTGTTTCACATGTTAAGGTTTAATATATGAATTATACAAAAAAGAAATTTTTATTTTAATATATTTTTGAGCTAAAATATGGATTTTCAAATGAAACATTAGTAAGTAAAGGTGATAATACAACATACTTTCTCTTGATCCAGTTGGTTAGAAACATAACCGATATCTAAAGCAGATTCATTCCGAGTATTGACAAAATTTTCAAAGAGCGCAATAAATTCTTTATCCAAATATTTACAATAGGATGCAGCTAAATCTTGCTTTGGTAATTGATGAATCAACTGTTGATTTCTGTATCCTTCTCCATCACTCCCTAATACAGGAATCTGATGCTCTGATAACTGACTAAAATAGTCATCAATCTGAAACAATTTATTTATTTGAGTAATTGAGAATTATTATTTCTACAAGTTATGATTCGAGATTCTTAATTGATATTTATCTTACACAAAAATTAATTTTTACGTTAGTGTTTCCATTTCCACTTTCCAAAAGCATGACGATAAATGCAAAATGTTAATTTTTTGACAAACTCTTATGACATAATTATTTTATATCACAGTACACTCCTTTATTTTGCGAGTCAAGAATCTGTTAATAAACGGGTGTTTCAATTTTTGTCATCATTTCCAAAGATATGGCGAAAAACTCAAAATGCTACATTAAAGGGATATTTTTTGACAATTTTTTGACGTAATCATTTTAAATAATACAATATATAGTAAGCACCTCCCCATATTTTGAGAGCCAAGATTCCGTTAAGTACGGGGGTTGGTGTGTTTGTTCAATGTAAGAAAGTCTAAGTGTTTTCAACCATATTAATCATCTCTCATTAATTAATTAACGTACATGAATTATCTCTCTCAAACTATTAAAATTACGCCTTAGTAGGATAAAATCCGATAAATAAAATAGTTCCGAAGAATGAACTTTAAGATTGATATACTTTTTACTGTATCATAAATTATAAAATTACGTCACGTGTTTGGTCTTACAACAATAAAGCCACTGGATGAACACGGCCCAAATTTTTAAAACAACGAATCCCTCTACGTTTATTTAATATTATTACCATTTTTATTTTTATTGTATTTATTTTAAATATTTACATATACAAAAAAATTAGTACTTTGTTTACCATTTTCTGGCATTAGTCAGAACTAAGATTTATACTGACACATATATTTTCTCCAGAAAACTTTTAAGTATAAATCATGCAATCTCAATGGTTCAAGGGGGGAAACATCAAATGTGTTAATTAATTAGTGCAGTTATGACATCAGATAAAACGTACTTTCTCTGAATAAACGTACCTTTTTTTTCGACGTATTTGGATTTTTGCCCCCCAAAATATAGGGGATATCCGCAATCTGGGAAATGTGATTCCGATTGTTTGAGAGCGGTTCAAACGTTAGACTACTTAATGTTAATTTTACAGTTTGCGTATCTCGTCATATTTTGAGAACTTTTTAAGCGAAGAAGTTTTGCACACAATAATAGAATTCGTTGATCTAAAGATAATTACTTTTGGTAAATAATGATTATTTTTCATTATTTTATTCATTATACAATGGAAAGGAAATTTAAATTGTGATGCATTCAATTTTTTACATAATTTTAACGAATGTAAATTTACAATGCAAAATACAAAAGTTGAGCAAAATCAGTCTAATAGTTATATCGAAATCGAATTTTAAAGAATTTATATTTTTGAATTCGGTTTCTCAAGAACTATTTGGCTGATTTCGCTCAAATTTACAAGTTGTTGTGCAAAATTACATTCTTTAAAATTATGTAAGAAATTTTATCCCATACAAATCAAAAATTCTCTGACAGTTACTAGATAACGTAATAAAACATAATAAATATTTACTGAAACTTCATGTGCTTTGAATAAAATTTATAGCTGCGTGCAAAAATTTTCGATTGCTTAAAAAGTTTTTTTAATATGGCCAGATACTCAGAACGTAAAATTAACATTAAGGAGTTCAAACTTTATACTGCTTTCCGGACCAAGATATTGGGACCCTATTTCCCAGATTGTGGCTGCCCCCGTATATTTTTATTTTTTTTGGGGGGGTGGGGCACAGAAATCCAAATCCGTCGAAAGAATTATTCGTCCATATTTAGAGAAAGTACATTTTTGTGTCTGATTTCGTAACTTCAAATATCGTCTGCACTAATTAATTAGCATATTTGTGGTTACCCCTTCGAGTCCTTGAGATTGAGTCATAGAATGGGAAGTTCTATCAAATTCATCATTTGACCAAAAGTTATTCAAGGTGTCCGTTTTTTTCGCACTTTGTAATTATAAGTTAATGCAAAATAACTTATAATATTATCATTCATTGGGGGAATGGAACCACTTATGTCACTAAAAATTCATAGATTGCGTTTCATTATATATTTTTAGATTTCCAGTTAAAAAGGAAGGAAAAAGACCTTGCACTTTAGGGTAAAGGAAAAAAAATTAAAATTCTGGCTAATTACTGTCAATAAAAATGTACTAAAATATTTGAGAGTAACAGGTGGTTCCTAGAAGAAACATTCTCAATCTTAATTATTTTTTCACTTATTTTGCGACTAAGTATAGTGCTGATTCTAAATCTGTATATTAAATACCATTACACAGTGTGGCAATACATATTTTGGACTCATAATTGGATTTTAGTAATCACAACAAAATTTAAAAATAAATAAATAAATAAATAAAAAAGTATTTCAACTTAAAATATATTTACAAATAAATTAAAGTAAGAAGTCTTAGCCAAAAACAATGGTGAAAAGGTGTCTCAAAAATGTTTGCTACTGTGATGTTTCATTCCTTGAATCTTGAAGCAGTATTTTTTTACTTATGTCGAAGAATGTTTTACGTTATCTCGTGTTCAAAATGGATCTAACCACGTTGGATTTGAGACTGGTGAATAATGTGTTCATTCTTGTGTTGTTGTGGGAAATACAGGGTGTTTATAAAGTTCCGGACCTATTTTGATGTTTAATAACTCATAAAATAATAATGATAGATTAAAATTAATAACATAAATGGTTAGATAGTCTCAAAAAGTTTCATGACCCTTGTCAATGAACTTCCACGAGTGCCCCCTTCATAGTACAGAGAATATCAAGTCGATAGTCAATTTCACGCCAGGTAGCGGCAAGCATGCCGGCATCCACAGAGGCTACTGCGGTTGTAATTCTGGCTTTTTGGTCATCAATATCCCACACGATCCTCCTGTAAACATTGTGCCCTTTTAAATCCCCAAAGAAAAAAGTCCAGCGGCATTATATCAGGTGATCTGGGTGGCCAAGGAATTGGACCTCCCCGCCTCAAAATTACAACCGCAATAGCCTCTGTGGATGCCGATATGTTTGCCACTACCTGGCGTGAAATTGACTACCGACTTGATATTCTCCGTGCGACGAGCGGGGCACATGTAGAAGTTTATTGACAAGGGTCATGAAACTTTTTGAGTCTATCTAACCATTTATGTTATTGATTTTATTCTATCTTTATTATTTTATGAGTTATTAACAATCAAAATGGGTCCGGGACTTTATAAACACCCTGTATTTATTGCAATATCCACGAGAGTCATCATGCGTTGTACTGAATCTTTCATACACACGTTTCAATGCATACTTAAATCAGTAGTCAATCATAAAAAAATTTAAAACTTTAGTGATAGACAAAAATGTCTGGTTTTAAATATAATCCAAGTTATTTCTTGCAAATCTGCAAATTTAAAAGAAAAAGACAGACGTAATTATTACTTCTCTATTTGATAAACCTGGGGGTACCCAAGAATATTTTCTTTCATCAACTTCACAGGTTTCTTCTGGACTTTCAGCCCTAAAAAAATCATAATTTTAGTTCACTTTTTATCTTCTAAATATAAAGTGATATATGAAAGGATTTAGAGATATAATAATTATTTTTTATTATATCACTAATAGTCACAACCCTACAGGGAAATGCTTTTATCTCAAGTAACGAAACAAGTCAAAAATTAGGGTTGTCTTCGCTGCTCTAAAAATAAGCAGTTTACTTATATCTTTTTAAACCAATTCTGCCAAAAGCGGCAGCATAACTGAAACTGAGAAGTTATGAGTTCGTGACTCACCCCCGAAGAAGGCATTTAATTGAAATATTCATATCTTCAAACAATAAACACTGATTCAAAGAAAAAGGGGGAATCTTCAGTTCAATTCCTATGTGTGCCATGAAACGTACAGCGTAAATATAAACAAAATTTTCAAAAATTTCTCGAGAAACAAAATTGTTTTGCCTCTTTTGCTTCTAGATTATTTAAGGAGATGTTACTATAATTATGGAATATTTTATAAGTATTAAAATTTACATTGAAACTCGAGGGTTTAGAAAGGCGATGATAATTACTAGTAATACCGTGCATGCAAGCTGAAAAAATCATTAGACAAAAGGGCAATTTAATATTCAAAAAGTTGTTAAAAATTATTAAATTCTTGCCTCAAGATTTTAAAAACTTATTTATTAGATATCCTAAAACTGTTCAAAACTAGCTCCACATCTGCTTTTTTTCTCTTTACAATTTTAAGGCAGTTAAGTATATTAAAGGAAACTTTTATTTATTATTTAAAGCAGAATGTGATGAGATTTGTAATTGCAAATTATTTTTTATTTAAATCTATAGCTACAGCCAGAACCAATTAAACTATGAAATAAACGTAAAATAAAATGTCAGAAAATTGTAGCCTCATTCGTAGTTTTTAATGAGAAATATTTTAAACAGTAGCTTTTAAAAGTAGTTATATGTTTAACTGATAAACAAAATGAGCGTATGGTAAATAAAAAATTATTAAAATTAACTTTTTCTTGAAAAAATTCAAATATTTGCAAACTGGTAAATTTTGCAATTTTTTTTAAATTTTTATTTTTAATTCTGAAATAAGCAGCAATTTTCTCTCACTTATTTTAGTTATTTTTTCTTAAAATACAATAAAAAATAAAAATAATTTTAAAAAAAAGTATTTAATTCACATCTTTAAACTGATCGCTGTCTATTAATTTCGACATCAGGTACTTAAAAGAGCATTTTTTATTCCTATTTNAATTAATTAGCATATTTGAGGTCACCCCCAGGAACCATTAAGATTAACACTTAGTTCGTGAAAATCCGATCATTAGAACGAAAGTTATTCAGGGTGATATCTTTTTTTTTTTTTGCGGACTGTACATCTGAATTCAACCGTGAACAATTTTCTGAATCGATTGGCGCACGTAAATATTTATTTCATTTACTATTTCTCAAGACACAAATTCGCATTTTTTCAGGTATAATTTTATCAAGAACTACTAAATCTATTAAAATAAAGTTTTATAGAGGGTTGCTTTGGATATAAATCTATAGAATAGACCTACAATATAACAAACGTTAGTAACAAAAATAGAGAAAATTTTAATTATTGAAATACATTAGGCATATTTTGCACAAACTTCTGTATCACTATATTTAAAAATATATTTCAATATCATCACTTAAAAGTTAAGTCTACTTAAAACATATAATTTACTTTCAAATAAGTTAAGTGAGAAAACTTCAAAAACTTCCACCCTAACAATAACTTTCGATCTAATGATAGGATCGTCACATTCTAGGACTCAATCTTAATGACTCGAGGGGGTAACTTCAAATATTCTAATTAATTAGTACAGACTATATTTTAAGTTACAAAATCAGACACAAAAACGTATTTTCTCTGGATGAACATACCTTTGTTTCAACGGATTCCGATTTTTGAACCCCAAAATATAGGGGACAGCCGCAATCTGGGAAATATGGTCCGAATAGTTTGGTCAGGAAAGCGCTCAAAAGTTTGAAACACTTAATGTTTATTTTACTTCTTGGATAATTCGCTATATCTCGGGAACTTTATAAGTGAATTGAAAAGATTTTGCAGACAATAATTAAATTTGTTTATTCAAGGATAATTCCATGCGAAAACTTACTTGTAATAAACTTCTGACTTAAAGTTTCTTAACTTAAGTTTCTGAGAAATCAAATTTTCAATATTTGACTTTTTTGTCAAGAACTATTTAACCGTTTTTGCTCAAATTTTGCATTTTGCCATTCAAAATCATATTCTTTAAAATGATGCAAAAAAATAGTATACCTTACAATTCAAAATATTTTCGACCATTATTAAATAAAATAATAAAAAATATTAAATAATTACTAAAAGTCATTTTTTGCATGGAATTATCTTTGGATAAACGAATTTTACAATTGTGTGTAAAAAAAATGTTTCAAACAGTTTAAAAAGTTCTTGAGATATAGCGAAATACACAAAAAGTAAAATGAACAGTAAGGCATAAAAATTTTGGAGCGTTCTCCTTACCAAACTATTGGGACCATATTTCCCTGATTGTAGCTTCCCCCTACCTTTTGGGGATCAGATATCCGAATCCGTCAAAAAAAAAAAATTTATGTTTATTCAGAGAAAATAATTAAACCAAAATTATTCAGGGTGGTCCGTTTTTTTCTTTTTTTTCCCACTGTAGCTAATATATGTTCCGCAAAGAGAGATTTTAGGAATAACCAAATTTTAAGTGTCTTAAATATATATTTTCAACAATTATTTTTTTGTAATGTACTCATACTTTAATTTCTACTATAATTATACATTATAGACAATTGTGGTGCTTCGTTAATTACACTGTAAAAAATTTAGTGTATAGTTGCAACCATTCATGATGTTGAGGTTATCTGCATACATTTTTAAGTACAGAACTGTAGTTTTCTTAGAAAAAATTATATAAATTGACAAAACAGCAATTGTTTGAAAGAATTAGTTCGAATATATTACTAAAAATATGCTTGTTTTTGAAATGAAGACATTCAATTGATTCTAATGTGCTTAAAAATATATATTGTCAATAAAAAAGCAAACAAAAAATTAATAAATAAATAAATCTATAACAGTGAAAAAGTAATTAAAAAAGTGACTGGTGAATGTTTTACAGATTACACAGTAAAACATTTTGGTGTATAGTTGCCACTACTTTTAGTGTTGAGGTAAACTAAAAATGCTTATAGTGCATGTGGACGCATTTTTTTCATCACTTTTCATTCTAGGTAGTTATTTATTTTTGTGTTTTTTGATTGACAACACGTTTTCATGCTCATTAGAATCAGTTGAATAGCTTTATTTCAAAAACATTTCGCTTAAATACAAGTACATATTAAATGATATATTCGCACTAATGCTCCAGCCGACCGAAGACTTTTCGTCTAGTAAATGGTGACACCAGTCACGTTAAAATCTGTCTGGTCACAAACTAAATTTCTTCTCATAACAAATTATACCTCTGGGGATATTGAATTGGAGATTGATCGTTCTCTGGTTCAGGTCAAAATTACGATCTGCGGATAAATGATGGGATGTATAAATGGGTTCACTCTCTAAAACGGTATGACGTATGAGTGTGGCAGAATTGGAATTCTTGACCATAGATGGTGCCACTGGAAAACAAGAGCAATCACAATCCCTCTGCCTTAATAACCGACGACTACAACAACAACAACAATTCTTTCTTACAATTGATATTTCGTCAATTTTATATACGTTTTTGCTTGATAACTATAGACCGGTACATAAATTTGCATATGTAACAGTAATTTGTATATTGGAGAATGTATTTGTAACAGTTTTGTATTTTAATTACAAATACATTTTTAAGTACCGAACTGCAGTTATTGAGCAGAAAGTTAGATAAAATTGACGAAATTGTTTAAAAGAATTAGTGTGAGTATATTGAAAATGTGCTTGATTTTTAAACGAAATTTTTTGATAATAAATATTTTAAAAAGCTATAACAGTGAAAAAGTAACTAAAAATGTGACTCCTGCACTGTAAAAAATATTTATTTATCTCAACTCTAAAAATGGTAGCCACTACTTTGTTTACAGGTTGGTTAAGATTTTATTGATGTTTTTTATGGAACGGTATTTTCATCATTAGCTGTTTCAAAACTGAAATTATACATAGTTCTGAATTACATACATAGTTGAATTAAACATAGTTCTGCTCTATTTCTTGAGGGCTGAAATAGTACGTATTTATTTTCATGCGTAATTTTAGTGAAAGAAATGAGTGGAAACACAACTAAATAATAATTAATGAACAGAAGTTCAAAAGTAGGTTCTAAATTTGATTTTTAGAACTAAAAAACTTACCTCCACATGTGGGCGTATTTTTCATTGCAATGGACTTCATCCGCTTCCTGGTTTTGTACGCCCTACGGAAATAAACTTCTTGATAAAATACTACAAGATCATTTTTTCTCAAACAAAATTTATTAATCTTAAAAGGAAAGTTATATACTTCTTTCATGCAATTTAAATAAGAAACACCCTCATTATAATAATATATTTGAAATAATTAGGTTGCTGAAGTTAATAAAATCAATTAATTTACACATTTAAGAAGAAGAAAAAAATCAACCATTTTTATTTTAGTGATATTGATAGAATCCCGCTTTTTTACAGTTAGATGTATAGTTGCAGATATTGTAGAATAACTTATTTTAGGAAATAATACGAAGCGTTTTTATTATAATGTTTAACCTGAAAGCACAATGTTTTCAGGGGATCTTGTTGAAACCTTCATCTGTTAGAACCATCTGTTTGATAGTCGCGTGCCAACTTTATCGTAGTACATAGATAAGAAAAGAATAATCTCTCTTAAAATCACATTAGTTTTTCAAGAGTTGAAAATTTTATCAATATACTAAGTATAAGACGTGAGTGCATTTTATATTCCTGAATTTCATAAAAGTTGTATTGAATGATATCTTAAACATATTTTTAAAAAAAAAATATTAATAAAATAACCATATTTGCATTCGTGTTTTGTTATTTAGAGCTAAAATATCGTGTACTTCTTTTAGAAATTGGATATCATGTACTTCTTTTTGAATTGGTAATCTTTTTGAAATTGGAACCGGTAATGAGTCATTCTCAAATGATTTATTGATATTTTTATAATTTATAAACACCAAATAGTTTAGTCTGACAATTACCGAAAATTATTGAAACTAGAAATAGGTTTTCCATTATTTCTTAATAAAGTTATATTTAAAATGTTGTTCTTATTTTATATTTCAAGTTCCAGTTGTTAGTGTAGGACTCAGTTTATAGCGACATGGCTCACAGCTTTTGTAGTTCACCAAGCTGTTATAACGAAACCGAGCACTTCCTAAAAAGGTATGTGGTGCTGCTGGCTGCTAATGACGGACAACTTCTTATATGGGATATATATATATATATATATNGTGCACAAGATGATAAAGTTTTGACAAACAAATTACACACTTGTGTAGTTCCAAATTTCAGCTTTAAAATGCAAAAGCCTGTTTCAGAAAAGGGTAACTACCACGGGAATGGCTGCTGCTGGCACGGAGGTATCTCGCCTTGGCGGAAAACTTTTTACTCAACCCGATATATATATATATATATATATATATATTGCATTTATATATATATATATATTTGCATTTTGCAGTTCTTTGATTGTACTGCAAGAATAATTCATTTCATTAACAAACTAGAAGTCACCCCGAGCTGGTGGCTAGAACTCACCTTGTCCTTCCCATCACAAAGACATGAAAGACAGCTATTTGTAAAATTTTACCTACGCACAATATTTTTCCAATTCCAATTACTATATTTTAAACAAGTAACTACTTTTGGATTGTGGTCTTGCGTCTTCTGAAACATTATACCTTTTCTGTAGATTCACTGACCAGTCCCACAATCCTTTTAGCAGCCAGAGTGGGACATAAGAATTTTAGGAATCAATATATATTACGAATTTATAATTTCGGCGATTGTTGGGCTTTTGAAAATGACAAAATAACCTTGTTTAACACATTATTCATCATTGGAAGAGGCGAAAGTTAACACGTTGTGTCTTTCACATTTAAAATTTAATATCGGGGAACGAAATTATCTTACAAATACAGAAATCGTGTTTCCACACAATTGATTTTTTGCCTTGCGTACTTTTTTGTACTCCAACTCCCCTCTACACATGTTGTCTGTCATCCACTGTGATGATCAATAACAAGTTCTCGTGGTAAAAAAAGAAATAATTTCTTTCAATTACTGTTTACACGATTTTAGAAGATCGTAAGACAAATTTCTAAACTCAGTGGTGCGACAGCCCATAGAGGGCCCATCTCAGTTTTCTTGACCTAGTACTCTGGAGTGCAGGAGCATATGTTCCGGTTTAGGTGGTCAGCCGAACGCGGAACGCCCAGTGTTTAGTTCCCAAGCATGTTTGACCCACTGAAGGGATGAAAGGCTGAGTCAACCTTGCCCGACCTTGCCTTGATCAAACTCAGGATCTGTGGCACAGCAGCACGAAGCACTACCACTCAGCCAACGGGCGTCAAACAAATTTCTAAGGGCTTATAAATTTTAATAAGTGTACAGGTCCAGGCTTTATAAAATGTTTGTTTTTCATATAGAAGAGCAATTATCTTCCTCTCATTAGTATACAACAGTTACAACAACATCAGGATTGGTTTATTGATACGACATACATTTGCAGGCTTGTGTGCTCAATTAAAGCTTTTAAACCTTTGTCAAGTATAAGGACAGATAGCACAATACAGAGAAGGACATCACACAGAATACATCCAGGGTTACGGCGGGATTCGAACCCGCCACCTCCACGTTTAACAGATAATTTGGCGGGCGATACCGCTAGGCCAGGGAGGCCCCCAACATCAGGAATACATTTATTTCTGTATTGTCTAAACAATAAGCAATTAGTTCTTTTGACCACTTCATGATAATTTTTGAGGCTTCGATTTCTTCCAATGGAACTCTTTGAAAGTAAATAACAGTTAACTTCTTACTATTTAACAGTCAGTTAAAGTTTTTGCAAACATTGAGGAAAATGTTATGTATCCGTACCTGTAGTTGAATCCTCTAAATGTTGAAAAAAGGAATCTCAGTAAAATGGAGAAGATAAATGAGCCACTGTAGCTAGTCCAATTGTAACGGTCGTTCAAATTTCATTTCAGTGTTGCAAACAGTATTTATAACTGTACTATCACAGCCAGTAACGACCAATTGCTACACATCAACGAAGTTTTTCCTAAATACTGATAAAAAGCGTTTAGGGCGATTACGGGACATAGATATATTTCCTCCAGGTTTTTGAATTATGCTTATGTGCTCTGCCTATATCTCACTTTTGTGCATTTTTTAAACAACTTTTCTTGAGACAATTATAATTTTCTTCGTCAATCAAAAACACTTCTTTAACACTGACGTCGGTGTTCATTTTGAGGTTCATGCTTTTCTCGCTTGATTTTATTGCCATCGAATTTTAGCACTTTCTTCACTAATCAGTCTCACATCTTTCAAAACGCTTGACACTAAAGCAACTCTCTTAGAAAATTTAAACCTGCCAATTATTATGATGTGATTTCTCATATTGATGACGGCGTCTTCTTAATGTAATGTTTCGTAAAATGAATTTTTAAGGCGTACGGTGCGCAACAAAAATAAACGGACCACCCTGAATAACATTTGATCTAATGATTGGATCTTCTCGTTCTAGGACTTAATCTTAACGATTCGAGAGAGTGACTTCAAATAGGCTAATTAGATTTTGAAGAAGATATTTTAAAATAGAAAAGCAGACACAAAAACGTACTTTCTCTGAATAAACATACGGATTTCTGACCCCTAATATCTAGGGCGTAGCCACAATTTGGGAAATGTGATCCCTATAGAGCTAAGATCGAATCTTCTCAGCCGAAAAACAAAGTTAAGACTCTATAAGACACTCATACTCCCTGTACTACTTTATGGAAGTGAACCCTAAATTCAGATATACAGAGGACACTAGACACCTTTGAAAGAAAGATCTTCAGAGCCATCTCTGGCGCAATTCAAGAAAGGGGAAGCTGGCAAACTAGATATAACTTCGAGCTCTACCAGCAGCCCAAATTTCACAAATAATTCGCAGTAATAGGCTGAGATGGCTGGGTCATCTACGGAGAAACCCTGAAAATAGCGCCATGAGAATAGTCACCTTTAAGAACCCCGAGGGGTCACGTCCCAGAGGCAGACCCCCTACTAGATGGCTCAACGACATCGAAAATGATTTGAAAACCCTAAAGATTAGAAATTGGAAGGGAGTTGCTATGTATAGGAAACCCTGGTGTTTGTCAGCTGTTGAGCAGGGCTAAAGGGAATAGAAGGGCTGGTTCACTCCTTTGAAGTATCTCTTGCCGCGCCGATCCTCCGACGTCACTCTAGTGACGTCACTTTGGCGCAAAGCTCGCACTTTTACTTCAAGAACGGAGCGTTTGGTCTTACTAGCTCTAACTAATATTGGATCATTTCTTTTTGCGAGATATTCTAAGACATTTGTTATTTTCTATAATGACTTTCCTCAGTTTTTGCAGTGAATTTACAAGAATTTAAAACTATTATCGAAATGCCAGTTTGCGCGATTGCAACTTGCAAAAATTCTGATA